CTATGGCCTTGTACGCAATCTCTCTCTCTCTCTCTCTAAAAGTGGGCCATTCTAGTCCGTTTAAAAGACCATGAAACTAATAGTTTTCGGACGGCTTTCGTTGTCAAATTTGCATCGTTGCGGTGCTAATTCGAGACAGTTCTTTTGTTGTTGTCACCTGCACATTCATGGCCTTTTCGACCATTTCTAAAAGCCTAGCCAAGGCAGCGGGAGCCAAAATTGGACGATGCTGATGCGACATTCACAAGCATTTGTTAAGAACCGGTAAGATTCTCCTTTCCTCTTTGCAACAAGTTCAACCACCAGTTGAATCGAGAAGGGTGCAAGTACAAAGTGTCGAGGAACGGTCACTCGATGGGGGGTTGATTACTGCGGATCGCGCAATGTGGTCCTTGAACTTTTAATTTATTCAATATAGTACCGGTATCTCGATCGCTAGTTTATTGTGAATCACTTTGTACGAGATATACGATAAAATTCATGTAATTACGCCTTGATTATTATTAAAACATTGGTCTCTAGAAAAATCATACAAGCACCCATTTGAAAGGCTGCGAAAAGCAAATCAATCTGCTCCGCAGGTCTCAAAACTGAAACTAACCCTACATGTGGATCAAATTTTTGGAATTTTCGGTGAAATTGAAATATACGAATCATTAGATCATGCATATTTCATGTAAGGGTCGCTTTAATTTAATTTCCCAAATGTTTGTGGGGCTCAAATTAGTTGAGAAAATTACCTAATTAGCCTTACACTTATTGTGCGGATGCCAATTCAGTTATAACTTTTTTTATTTTGCCAATTTAATTATAAATCTTTATGCGCAATTATAATGTAGTCCTTAAGGCAAATTTTTGCCGGAAATCGCCGGTACGGTAGTCTAGTCATCACTGGCCGTCTCATGTGGCATACCGCCACGTCGGCAATTTTCGACGATAATTGGCCAGAAAGACTACGTTGGAATTTTGTGCAAAGGTTTAGGATTAAATTGGAAATATTGAAAAGTTTATGATTGAATTGAGATCCATACAATAGATTTAGGATTAATTAAACAATCTTCTCCAAATTAGTTAGGATTCATGCAAGTGTTCTTAACAAAGAGATGGCACATCTTGTTTCTTAATCTCGACACACTAGGCAATTGATGTAGCGAAGTGATAAAGCAATTGCAACTCACGTGTCACGAGTGGCTGCTTGGCATGCAATTAATTTTTTTTAGCCCTCCTTCACAAAGCACTAGGTATCCATTCGTTGAGTAAACGTCACAATGGTGAAATTATTAATGTAATTTGACAAGCCATAACCCACTCAATCAGTGAGCTAGAGTCCCTAGATCCTTGTCGCTTATAATTAAGACCTCACATGGAAATATATAAAATTAATTAATTCATAAAATGGAAAATGACACAAACAGTCTCTGAACTTTGGCTCAATATGCAATATGGTCCTTGAACTTTTAATTTATTCAATATAGTTCCTGAACTATAACCCAATATGCAATGTGATCTCTAAATTTTTAATTTTTCAATGTCATCCCTAAACTATATGAAAATGTTCGATGAAATTCTTCCATTCATTCAAGTTTATGGACTATATTGAATAAATTAAAAGTTTAGGGACCATATTGCACGTTGAATCAAAGTTCTGAGACTATTTGTGTCATTATCCCTTCATAAAACCCTAGTCGGCAGCTTGGCCTATTTTCATATGAAAGACTAGGGTTAGTTCTTTTATTTCCCAAAAATATACAACGAGTTTATCTTCTTGATAACCTTATTTAGGTTGCGTTTGAAATTCATATACAAAATTAGATAGGATCACATGTATTATGTTTGTTGTTTAGCCGTTTAGGCGCACACTTTGAATGCATAGGATGAGCCTACGGATGGTGTCGCGGTCCAAATCTCTCTCACTTGGAATGTATATAGGAATAAGCCTGGATAAGTGTAGTGCAACCGCATCTAACGACTCCAATGACCGTGCTCGTACAAGATTTTAAATGTTAGATTGAAACGCGATAGATCTGAATCGTTCGTCAAATTTCGGCTGTTCATATTAGAGAACAATATGCCTGTTATCTACACCCATATTATATTCATTGTTTCCATGTAAGGAATAGTAAAAACAAACAATATTATATCCAATTACGTTCTATTCTATTCAATTTTAAATATTAGCAAACATTGTGGGTTTTTCCTGTTTTATATATCCAATAACGATTATTTTTCATGTTTTATTTAGCGAGCCTATTGTCTCCAAAAGAGATCCCATGATTTTTGGGTTTTTTCATAGTGTTGACACCAAAATAAGAATCGGCATAAACTCTGAGTCGGCTTTAATGCCGTATTTGGTGTATAATGGAAATCAGCCATCTTCCGAAATACGTCTGGATAAAATTCGAAAACATGCTGGGAAGCAAGCGTGAATGGCATCATATCCCGAATTCGGTAATTGGTGAAGATCGAGATATTTACCGAAACATGGAAAGTCATAGTTCGGGAGTTTGTAAAAAAAGGAGCGTTGGAGCCATTATGCCTCGGGACGTTGACTCTTTCCCGAAATTCGGGAAGTCTATACTTCGGGAATATATCGAAATTACAGAAAATCGGTAAAGATGAATCACGGCCCAGCCACGTGAATCATAATAATAGGAAGTTATGAGCAAAAAGCGGAGATAGTGAGCACGAGCAGATCGTGGGGAGTTACTTGTCCAAATTTGAAGTCGTCCCAGTGGTTGAGATCAAGTTTTGACGGACAATAAAATTGGAAAACGTGGTTAGATAAGGCAGTTATTGGAAGCACCAAGATTCAAAGTTTGAAAACAAAAAAATAACCGACAAGCAATTACAGGATATGAGGAGATATAAATACTCATAAGAAAGAAGGAGGAAAAAGGATCAACAACAATGCAAAAACACTCAAGCTTATCTGCACTTTAGTTTCCTCTATACCTTTACTTCCTGCATTTACAACTTCTTGCAACTTTAGTTAACTTTCAAGTTCTTTACAGCTTTCATAGGAGTATTGTAACGTAGTTTGGAATTTTGTTGATCTCAGATCCATTTTCAATCCATTCGATTTCTATTCGTTCCATATAATCCTGTGCTGTACTCTGTTTTTCGCCACAACTCTCCTAGAAATCAAGCCACAGAACCTATCTTAATAAAAATCGAAAATCAAAGTTTCGGTGAAAGGTATTCCTCGTCGTGAAACGAGCGAACACATAGTTTGATTGAAAAAATATATATAATCGTTATGATTAAGACACGATGAACAGCTGAAATCTAATGGACGAGATCTATCGCATTTCAAGCTATGAGCACATACCTTCAGGACAAAACAATCACCCTTTAAATATATATGTATATATAATGTTTTCCATATTCCTTCTCATGGGGACCCCAACCAAAGTCAAAGTCCTGGTGCAAAGTTAAACACACGGCTGGTCCCAACCACAACCACAAACAAAGTCAAAGTCAGGCCTTGCCGGCATGTAGCGAGGCTCGAGCCTCGCCCGAGGTTGCCAAACGTCGGCGAGGCTCGAGCCTCGCCCAAGGTTGCCAAACGTCGGCGAGGCTCTGGCGACCTTCGATGAGGCTCGAGCCTAGCCCAGCTCACTGGATCTGGCAAGACTCGAGCTTGTCAGCCTCGCTACAGGCCGGCAAGCTCGGGCGAGGCTTGAGCCTAGCCTAGCCTAGCTCGCCAGATCTGGCAAGGCTCGAGCTCGTCGACCTCGCCACAGATCGGCAAGGCTCAACCTCGTCGGAATCGGGCAAGCTCAAGCCTCGCCAACTTGTGGCGAGGCTTGAGCTCTCCTATGGCCGATCGCCGGCCACCATCGTTGCCGCGCGATCGGCCGGAGAAGAAGATAGAAAAGAGAAGGAAAGAAAAGGAAAAAAATAATAAAAAGAAAAAAAAATAGATAATTAAAATTAGAATTTAAAAAAAAGAAAATTAAAATAATTAAAATGAATGGTGAAAGAAGGAGGGTGAAAATGTTTTACTCTTTTTAAAAAGAGGAAAACATTTTCCTTAAAAGTGAAGGTGTTTTGTCCATCCACGGAAAATGTTTTCCGTGGTTAGTTTTTTTTTCCGTGAAACGAACACCGGAAAACTCGAAAAACGTTTTCCCGGAAGTTATTTTCCGTGAAATGAACGGAACCTAAATTAAAATTTCCAATTAGTTCCTTTTCTTTTACTATTCATATTCATATTTGAATTTGGTGAAATTAATACCATGAAAAACCCTAAACTGGTACATTCGTGATAAATTTACCCCGAACTAATGTTTTGACTACCAAAAATCACAAACTTGTGCACATATGATAAATTTACCAAAAATTAATTGTTTGACCACAAAAAACTCCAAATTGGTACACCTGTGACAAATTTACCCTCCGTTAAATTAGATTAATATTACGAAAAATAAAAAATTGGTAAACTTGTGTAAAACCCTAAACATGTGTCAATTACTATGTATTATCTAACTCAGCAATTTAACGGAAATTAACAGAGGGTAAATTTATCACATGTGTACCAGTTTAGGAATTTTAGCAGTAAAAAATTAGTTTAGGGTAAATTCATCACAAATGTACCAGTTTGAGATTTTTTATAATATTAACACAATTTTGCAAATGAAATAAATCTTCAATTACGGCGAATACGACCGTACGGTGACAATCCAAACCAAATCAAACCAAACCAAATAGCTCATATCGCAGTTCTAACAGCTGAGATTAAAGAGTCAAATCACGCAACAATTTGAAAAAAAATGATCATTGCTATTAATCTTTTCGGCCAGTATTCTCCAGATAATTAAAAATATTCAGGAACAGAACAAAAAAGAAAGGTGATGGTACCGATGGCTTTGATTTCCACGAGGCACCAACATATGAAAGACGCACTGCTGCTGCTGGCTTGCTGCTGCTGACTGAGCCGCCCCCCCTGTCTCTCTTTCTCTCCGAGTCTCTTGACTCTGTCTCCTCAGAACTCGCTGTATACGGAGAAGAAGCAGAAGAAAAATCTGTGCTTTAGTAGGGAAAATTTTCCATCTTTGCGATGCATAACCCTTCTGTCTTCTCGTCGTGTGTTCCAGGTTCCTAGCAATGGCGGAGGTCATATATTTCTTAAACAAGGTGCGATCTTTTCCTCTCTCTCTGTTTCTTTTTTCTTGTAAATTGATTAGCTCTGTTGAATGTGATTGGATTCTGTGTTTTTTGGCCCGAAGGAGAGACGGGTGTTATCTTTCTTGGCCGGAGGGAGATGGGTGTTCTTGAAAAGTCAGTTTTTCACTGTACTTTGTGCAAAAATTGTTGCTTTTTTTGGGCGTATGAAGTGGTATTGGTTTGTGGAAGAAGCTGATCCATTGTTCTTACTTTCGTGTCTTCGTGAGCGGGGACGAGAACGCGAACTCAACTTGAGATCGGACATGTCTATTCTCGAATTATAGCGATCTTGTTGTGCTAATCAATTTGCTGCACTCTTACGATTTTTGGGTAGTTCACTGAATTACTTCTGGGTCAGAACTTAAAACCCTCCTTTAATTCTTGCCCTTCACTGCCTAATTAATTGTATTTACCTCAACTTGCATTGATTTCCTCTAGTTATTGTCCCTGCATAGTTTTGTGATTGTTATTGCTAACACCAGATTGTGAGGAGATTATCACGTTTCTGTCCGATGAATGATCAATTTTTTTCTTTGTCTGATGGCATTTACTCTGTTTTTTTATGCTTGACAGGACACTTTAATGGTTAAACCTCGGAAGAAATCACCTCTAGTATATAGGATGATAGTTTTGGCATTTTCAATGTTCTGTGGGGTGTATATATGCTCAATCTGTCTGAAGCAAATAAGCCGCCGCGCCAAGCCAAATCTTTTGAACATCCAAATCACCGAGGAACCTTGCGAGCTTCATGGCATAAAACAATCTGATAAACCTTCAATCCATTATCCAAAACCCAAAACTTTTAGCAGGTAATAGATGACAAAACAAAACTAGAATTTTGTTTTTGATGGGATGATGATTCACTGGGTTTCGCCTGATTTCGGTTTTAATTATTACCAGGGCTGAATGTGCAGATAATCCAGTGCGATATTTCGTTATTGTGTCGACACAGAGATCGGGAAGTGGGTGGTTCGAGACACTCCTAAATAGCCACGCCAACGTGAGCTCCAATGGGGAGATTTTCTTCGTCATGGATAGGAGGAAGAATGTTTCCACGATTTTACAGACTCTTGACAAAGTTTACAACTTGGATTGGTTTAGCAGTGCGTCGAAGAACGAGTGCTCTGCTGCAGTTGGCTTCAAGTGGATGCTTAATCAGGTAAATATTAGGACATCATTTGCGAATTTGTACAATTGGACTCGAATTTTCGATCCAAAGAGATTGATGGAACTACTATAATTTGGGTTATGTTTCACTGAACATAGAATGTGCGAAGAAGGCAGAGATGGAATATTGTGGTATTACAGGATCAAAGAGCACCCCATAGTCCTTTAGAGCATAGAACTCTATAAGGTGAATGCTTTAACAAAGACACAATGAATTGGTGACAAGAGTCTTTGATACATGCAATTCTACTGAAATCTCTAGTGTGCTACTAATCCAAATGCATGAAAGGTGATGCAACCACGAAAATTTGCAGAATTTCTGGAAATCCTAGGAGGCTAGGACTAACATGTCAAAGAAGACTTTTCCTTCAAGAACTTCCTGGTGTGGAAGCTGACCACTCTGGCCAACGAAAAACAGGAATAAAAAGGTTGTGCATGCATCAAATCATCATCTAGATCGATGGTTGGAAAAAGATCTCTTTCTATATAAACTGTATGGTAAATAAGCCTTTGAGGGTTTAGAAAATTTTGATAGCATATTACCTAAGCTTATTGCGGTGTTGGGCAAGTATATTATTTTCTGATATGGAGACTATTGAGGCAGCACAATGTTGCTTCTTGTCATATTGTTGGATGATAATTCAGGGAAATTGAGCATTTCTTGCTTACAATTCATACAGGGAGTGATGGATCACCATACAGAAATTGTGCAGTACTTCACCCATAGACATGTTTCTGTAATTTTCCTCTTCCGCAGAAATCTTCTGCGCCGCATGGTGTCAGTGCTAGCAAATTCCTATGACCGCTATGCTAAACTGTTGAATGGAACCCACAAGTCCCACGTGCATTCTCCTCAAGAGGTCTCTCTCTCTCTCTCTCTCTCTCTATACAGACACATTCACCCAAAGGGCACACGGCCACATGCACTCGCCGGCACTAACTCATCTTCGCATACTGATACATGAATGCATTTCCTGGATACTGACTGCAGGCTGCGACACTCTCGGGATACAAGCCTACGATCAACTCCTCATCGTTGATCAATGATTTCAAGGAGATGGAGAAGACAGTTTCCAAGGTTTTGACATACTACAATACCACGAGGCACATGGTGCTCTACTACGAGGATCTCATGAAGAATTGGACTGTAAGTGCCTCGTACCCTGACATCTAGCAAGCACCCTTAGTTCGAACTGACCACTTATACAGCACAGTTTTTATGCTGCGACATCCTGCAAAAATAGCTCAAAATCTATAACTTTCTACTCTAAATCCAGTTTATGAAGATGAGTGGAAGTGTTATATTAATTGTTTGCGATCATGTCTCATTTGAAAGCTACTGTTGCTATTTCACTTTTGTAAACATCGATTTATCTCATGCGTTGGATCGATATTCATTGTCCGCTGTTGTGCAGAAGCTAAAAGAAGTACAAGAGTTCCTCAGCCTGCCAACGATGGATTTGACGAGCCGCCAGATCAAGATACATAGTGGGCCGTTGTCGGACCATATCAAGAACTGGGATGATGTTTTGACGACAATTAATGGGACGAGTTATGAGCGCTTCATCCATGCTGACTATTGAACTGTGCTTCATCGGCAAGATTTTGGAATTATGTACATAACAAGTTAAAGTTAGTCATCTTCTTGGGTGCAGAAGCTAACGACAGGAGCCACGAGAATCGTGCTCTCAGAGGCTGCTCGTTTTTTGGGCCTAAGTTTTGTTTCCTCCTCTGCATTCAACACATAGTTGAATCTCACAGTAATTCTGTTCCTTTTTCAGTTCTAAAAGCTTGTCATTCTTGATTATTACCCACTAGGTCTGTTGCATCTGCTAATTAAGAGAGTAGTCTTTTCATTTTTGACATTCCCAAGACTCGATACCGGGCCTGCACTCACACCCGACACCCCAAATCACCAGGCCAGATCGCCGCGGGGGACTTGATCAAAAGAGTAATTGCTAGCTATGATTAATGAGAAGGCTCTTTGATTGTTTTCATTACGGTTACTTTTCTTGCCTGTCTTTGGGAAATAATTTGTGTTCAAAGTTCTGTATCATGTCAAGAGAACGGGTCCGTACGCTCCATTCTCATTCCTCCCTCATCATTTTCATATGTCGTTCGCCCGACTAGATGGTTTATAACCAAGGATTGTGGAACATGGAGTTGGAGTGATACAAGTGGAAAATAAGGCGAAGATTGAGAACGTTTGATAGAATTTGCCAATGATATGGCGTAATTTACTTGTCTTGATCTTTTATAATGGTGAGTTTTATGTGAACTCCACGAAATCCTATTGTTGTTGATTGTGTCCGGTCAGAGGAATGATCTTCGTTACGAATGTCATACAGTCGCGTCTTCCATGAAGCTTTTTCTAGTCCGGCAACAAGCCTCTAGCTTGTCCAGCGGTTTTGCTGCCGTGAGATTTTTACACTAAATACAAATTGCCTCCCTTGGCTTAAAAATTTGTCATATGCCCTCTGAAGTCTTTCATATTGTTTGCAAATTGCAATGACATCCTTTAGTGTCGACTTCGGCATGTACTTACCGCGTAACTAATTCGCTTATTTTTTGGAGGCCAAATCCGTCCAACAACTATGGGCCAATTACATATGAAATCAGTTGCAATGATTACAAGTTACAAGGCCCACAGCTTGATCGCTTTTTCTAGTGTAGCCCAAACCTTAAATCATCGTAGAGTTTTGCTTTGATTGTATCTCCAAATTTAGCCTGAACTTTTAACATTAGTACATAGTTAACCAAACTTCTTATGTCATTTAAAAAATGACCTCTTGAAGTTTACAATATAGGACAAGTTACAAATCAAAGTAAGAAAGCACATAATAAAACTTGTCACATCGACATGCATTTTTCGACTCTTTGAAATGGTAAACTAACCGTAGTGAAAGCATTAGCAATTTGCATAAACATGTGATATTCGTATTTAGGTTTTGTGAATTTAGATATAAGCACCAAAGCATCGTAACTTTCCTTTACAAGGAAAAAAGGGACTCATGGAGGAAACACGTTCACTCACCCCAATCTATACATTATGCTTATTATAGCACGTCTTGTCATGTTAGGATTTTCCTCTATATTTATTATATTACCAAGTGTCTTATCCTATTAATTAAGGTACCGATCTTAGCTTGCCACTCAATTCTTCACCAAACCTTCATTTAGATACACATATTAATTGCATGAAGAATTCATTAACTAGTGCCCCGAGCACTCCTTAAGTAACAAATTAAGAAAACTCTATAACAAGTAATGCACTAACTGTTCTCAGGTGATATGTAAGCAAAATTTTGACAATCGGATTTTTCCAATGTAAATATGTTGCCCTTAAAACGTTTGTTAACGGGGATGGATTTGGCCTTTAAATCTCGAGCGACCCATAAGTGATTTATCAATTCTAATTTCTAAGTATGTTGGTAAACTTAAACGCATTTTGTTTTTAAGCCTAAACAATATATATAGTAGGTACTGTAATACTCGAAAACCATATAATTAATTAGAAAGTACAAAGATCTGCGGTATAAATTATAAGTGGCGAGAGAGAGAGCGCGCAAACACATGGTTGAATGGCTTGGAGTTTAATGGGCCAGTTTGGGAAGATGGTTTAGACCTATCTGCATGGGCTTTCCTTAAATCCCTCCATGCTCTTTAATCATTCACAGGACTCATTATCTAAATTGATACATCATCTATATATTTAAGCTTGTGTCCACATTTTATTCTTTCCAAGACTACCATTCCCGAAAAAAGGCCACTCACTTTCACTAAAAGAGTGCACTCACCGATTCAATTTTTTTTTCGATGAGTAAGTTTTGGATCATGATTAAATTCCAATATAGCTTAGGTAAATGATTCGTTGGAGATGTCACATTGCTAATGTTGCAGCAACAATTTGTCAAATTTGTTCATCCTTACAAATTAAAATCTACATCCAACTAAATACATGCAAGAAAACATAAAATGTTTCTGTCCAACATTTTTCTGAAATTCGATTGATTAATCACGTCCATCTATATCTATATATTTAACCCAAAAGTGTCTTTTGTTTCTTTTTTTTCTTTCCAAAATTGTCCTAACACCCATTTGTTTACTCTTACATAATTAAGAGAGAGATAACCTTTTGGTGTCTCTTCCTCTTAGATAATTATTCATGATTTATTTGATTTTTCATCAAAAAGCTTTCACAAAACCTGTGGCTCGGCAAGCACCGGATTCTCCACTCACCACTTCCTAAATCAATGCATGTTATTACTCATGTTGTAACTACTATCGTGTCACGAACACCGGTGCTGACACACGTGTAGAACGAATTGGTTCTATTACAAATTTAAAAGAAAGGTCGAAAGTGTCTGCGTCCCAATGTAAGGGCAGGGAATCACGTAAGAAAAGATATTCGATGAACGGGCCTAATCTAATGGCCAATCGACCAAACCGAAGCTCATTGATCAATTAGAGTTTTCACGAAATGGACTCGCATTTAGCCCACTAATTTACAAAAAAAAATAATAAAAAAAGCTAAATGGCCAGGCCTAAATTGGTGACCTCCAAGTTCGATGTTTAACAAAACAATAAATTTTATTTTCTTCTATTTCTGAGTGGAGAAAACTCCCTCCAACCGATTTCTAATTGGTGAATTGTGAATACAGTAGGCTTCCAGATTTATTTTTAGTTAGGTTGGATGTGAGTGATGTTAGATAATTGTCCAAAAAGTTCTAAACCTATTATACGGCGGCCAATTTAGTCCTAAACCTATCAATTGTGTCAATTTAGTCTTAAACCTTTTGACAACTTGCCAATTTAGTCTAAAAACTTCTGACAGCTTGCTAATTTAGTCCTTACGGCAAATTTTGACAAAAAATCGCCGATGTTAGTCGGCCGCCTGGTCACCGGCCATCTTACGTGATGTGGCTATCTTACTTGGCGTGGCTGGCACGAATATGGATAATTTTTGTCCTTATTTTCCTTTCTTTTTTTTCCTTTGGCCTGTGGTCGATACTCGGCCATGGTCAGTGACTGGCCACAAGCGAGGGATGGTGAGGGCTCGACCCTCGCAGCCTAAGTAAGGTGGTCGGTTGCTGACCAGGGCTGAGTACCAATCACAAGCTAAAAGGAAAGAAAAGGAAAAGAAAAACGAAATTAAAAAAATGCAAAAAATTGTCCACATTAGCGCCGGCCGTATCACGTAGGATGGTCAATAGCTGGCTGGTGTCCAAGTTAGCGATTTCCCACCATTATTGGCCGGAATGACAAAATTGACAAATCATCAAAATGTTTAAGACTATTATAATTGATGCAGAAACTATAATGAAATTAAAACTGAGAAGAATAAAGAACACATAGATTTACTGGAAAACTATTAAGGGAAAAACTACGGGGAGAGGAGAAGCAAAATCCACTATGAAATTCAAGGACTAAAAAAGGTGGCTAAAAAATCTAAGATTCTTTCTGTCTCAATTTCTTTACCTAATAACTTAAGAAAAATAATATTTATATTGCCCCTAAGTCCTAATGTTAGCCCAAGCTTATAGAAAATTCAAGACATATTCAACAAATCTCCACATTGGCTTGAATTAGATATAAGCAACAAACAATCTTCTCCTCCCACTAGAGTAAAACTCCACTGTAGCAAACATTAATTAAATCCAAGCAATGCTTGAATTTAGCAACAAGCAAGAGCTTTATCAACATATTAGTTGGATTGTTTTCTATATAAATCTTCAAGACCTTGATATAACCATCAACAATAATATCTTGAATAAAATGACACCGCATATCAATGTACTTTGTCCTCTCTTGATACATCTGATCTTTAGTAATATGTATAGCACTCTGACTATCATAATGTACAATAATTACACCATGATCCACACTGAGCTCTATAAATAAGCTTCTTTAACAGCTTCTGTAATAGCCATATACTCTGTTTTCATAGTAGACAAAGCAATCGTATGCTCTAAAGTAACTTTCCAACTGAGTGCACAACCTCCAATAGTAAAGATGTATCCAGTCCAAGGCCTTCCCTTATCAAGGTCACCATCATAATAAGAATCAACATATCTTGTAAGAGTGTCACAAGTTTTCCCAAACTCTAAAAGAAAATAAGAAGTATCCTTCAGATATTTCAAAATCAACTTCACAGCTCACCAATGAACTTTGCTTGGACATGATAAATATCTACTTATCATGCTAACATCATGTGAAATGTCGGGTCGAGTGCAAATCATTACATACATAAGGTTACCCACTGCACTAGAGTATGGACCATGTGACATTTTTTATTTTCTCATCTATTTGTGGATATAGACTAGATGATAATTTAAAATGAGAAGCAAGAGGAGGACTTACTCGTTTGGCATCTTTCATGCCAAAACGATCTAACACCTTCCCAAAATAGCTTTTCTAGGAGAGATACAATTTTTCGGGATAAGTACAGCGCAAGTGCCATAACTTTTGTACGGAGGACACTTAAGTGCCATAACTTTTTTTTGGCTCACTTGAGTGCCATAACTTAAAAAAAATGATCACTTAAGTGTCACTTACGAGCTGGTCGTGAGGACCCGAAACCGCGGCTTTTTCGGTCGAACGGTGACCTTCCCGGCGAGGCGAGCACCACCAGCTTGAAGAGGGGGTGTCGGTGAATCATTCCATGGCCTCCGTTCGTCTCGAAATTTCCGTTTTAGCCTCCGTTGACGAAGGTAAAAATGCTTCGTAGTCACATAGTTTATCGAGCCGATTTGTGTGACTACGAAGCATTTTTACCTTCGTCAACGGAGGCTAAAACGGAAATTTTGAGAC